TACCATGCACTTTGAGGTGAGATTTTTAATGTGTTTAGACATTCTAGTGTAAAACAGTATTTGTACTCCTACTACAAGGGGGTGTTTTATGTTTCTCCAGGCTAAAAAAGAAATTTACTTGCAATTTCTTCTTATTTATTTAGAATATTTCCTCACCTGACAGTTCCCCAGAAATAAAAAGGCGAGCTTACAGTCAAGAGGTAAGGGTATTTGCCAGAAACTATAAATAATGTCTTGATTGCACCTGTATGCAAATACTTTTCACCAGCCATTGAAAAGTTTCCTGGAATGTAAAAGGTGGCATTCCTACAGGTTTTATTTGCTTGTTACTCTACATTTCCACTTTAACTATTTCTTTTTCTATTTTAAACTGGTTTCTCTCTCCTTTTTTTCCGTATCACTTAAAAATCCTGATGGCTCTCATGGAAAGGAGTAACTACTGCAATTTATAGATCAGAACAGAAAAACAACACTGGTGCTTTTTGGACTGTAGTTAGATTTAAATTAACATTTGTCTTTGTTACCAGCATCTCTTAATTGTTTTTGTTGAGCCTAATTATGCTCAAAGTGAGAGAGCAGAGCAGAAAGGTAATAAATGGGTTTAGGTGCATTAGTTCAGGTGCAGCAAGTGCTGTTGGGATGCAGCTGGGTACTGCCAGGCTGGGGGATGGCCGTGTCCCACTGTGGGGTGGGGGAGCACCAGAGGAAAACGTGGCTCTCAAACATGGGAAACTTCCCCAGGGACCCTTCTGCCCTGCACAACTTTGGGAAACGTTCCCCAGCAAGGTGGAGCTCCAGTTTGGAGCAAGCTACATCACTTGCCTAAAGGTGTTGAACTATAAACCTCATGGCACCTAAAAGGAATAGGTAAGAATAAGGAACAATAAAAAGATTTAGCAGGTTATACTAATACAGAATTTCACTTCTAGTGAGTCGTGACAATAAGTGATCCATGTACTCTCCCGTGGGAGTTAAGCACATAGATGTATAATTTTTTTTGTTTTAGGTCAAAATCTTAACAAATGTTGAAATACACAATTTTTCTCATGCAAGCATAGCTGTCAACTGAATTTAACAATTACTTCTAAATTACTGTAATTTAATATTTTAAGGTTTATCTGACTCAAAAAGAGGGGTTTTACTTAAGAACTTCTGCTTAGTAATACAAATAATTTAAAAAGGATTAATGAAAACCTTAAAACCTGTTGGCTTAGAAAAGCTACTTCCAGCGATGGATATGTCCTGGGTTTCTCGTGGCTAATACAGTTTTAAGTAGTACAAAAGAAGTTTCTATAACTTAAGAATTTTTTTTCCCCCCTCTACAGAATACTGGGTGTAATATTGTCTTAAAATGCTGAAGTGTCTCGGAAAAGCTTGCTTTTATTTCAAAAAGAAAAAAAAAAACAACAAACTTTGACACTGAGGATCCCTTTTATGTTGAATTGAAGCAAGTGCTTTTAACTTGTTGGCCAGGGACTTGCTCCTGTTGAAGCTCCTCTCCTTCCTCTGCCAGTCATAAATAAAACCCGGCATTTAAAATTTATTTTGGCTTTGGTTAATGTGCATTTTATTAAAAAGTTTTTAATCTAATACATGACAATAGTAGAAATAAGTGTCTGGCTGTAGAACCGTCACTTAAAAATAGATAAATTTATAGTACTGGAAGGCCTTTAGTCCCCCTTAAAGGCACAACTGAATGTCAGAACAGTTGCAGTTTTGTTGTAGTATGGCAAAATAGTTGACATGCTTTTTTTTCCACACAGGGATATGACAGAGCATCGATTCTAGCACTGAACTCTTTCAGAAATTCCAACCTGACAGAAATGGGCCTGCAAGAGATAAAGACTATTGGATATTCCAGTCCAAGGAATAGGACTGATGTCACACGGCAGTGCACTGGAGAAATGGAATCTGTGTCAGACCTCCAGCTGGGACTCGAAGTAATTGAGCAAAGTACACTGCATAAAAACCTGGAAGCCCCCACACATGATAGGACTGATTCAAACAGCCAATTAGAAACTGCTCATTGTGGACGGGGCACAATTTATTCTTCCTGGGTAAAAAGTCCCGACAGGACAGGTGTAAATTTCTCAATGAATTCTAATTTGAGGGACTTGACCCCTTCACATCAGTTGGAGGTAGGAGGTGGATTCAGAATAAGCGAGTCAAAGTGCCTGATTCAAGACGATGCTAGAGGCATGTTCATGGAAGCATCTGTTTTTTGTACTTCAGAAGATGGAATTGCATCTGGCTTTGGAAGGACTGTCAATAATGACAACTTGATGGATGGAAATTGCACACCCCAGAATCCTCCACAAAAGAAAAAGGTTGTAATTTTAAGAATCATTTGGTCTGTCTTACATGGTCTGCTAATGATATTTCTATAACAGTACCATAATATAATAAAAACCAGCTGATGGCTCATCTTTAGACACTACAGTATAGTAGACATTATTCAGGGGAAATAATGAAGAACAAAGAGTAAAGCTGCATACACCCATTAGTAAATTTATTTTTTTCCAAGCAATAGATACAAATTCATTTTTATTTCATACGAGTCTTAAATGAACTGCTCAATAAATAAGTGCTTTTCAGGTTTGAAACTGGTTGCTTATGCCACCAAGTATTACAATATTCTATTATACAGAACGTATACTAGAATGTTGGAGATCATGTACTGTGAACATTTGTTATGAATTGCTGTAAGAAATTGCACTAACAGATTTATGATACTGAGACTTTAAAATTCCAATTTTTAGATACTTAAGGTATTTTGGTTTCACAAAACTACACAGAAGTTCTTAGTTCCAAGAAATATTTTCCTGGGCTTAATTTCTTTTTTTTTAATATAAAATATTGTGTTTGAAAAATAAGCACAATCTAAATTTGCTACTCTCACGGAACAGTTCTTGTAGGGAACTTTTGTGGTCATGGGCAACTCGAACCAGAATTGGAAGCTACCCTGTGTAACAGTCTTTGCACTTGATTCTCAGGTTAGGCTCCCTTTGCTCCTTGCAGAAAGGATGACAAACATGGAAAGCAGTAGTCTCCAATGCAGCAGCTTGCCAGTTCGGTCTCAGACTGTAGAATCTTTCTTGTTTGAAAGATGGGATTTATGTTCTTTATGGAAGTAATGATCAGAGGGGTCAGAGCATAGTCTGTCTGTGGAGTTCTGGGTTTTTTTTGTTCCCATCACACCCTCTTGTATGTGCCTGCTCCCCTGTGTTCCTGCTGGGGAGCACTCATGATTCTTCCCTCAAAAGCTGTCCATCAGAACTGGATTTTTGTTTACTTTGTTTCAGACTGAGACATAACTGAAGCAAGATAGTAGGAGCTCTGCTCTTACCTGGTCCTGACCTTGGGAATTTTATAGAACCCATGCCTGTTACTGTAGCCCTGCTGTTTTTGGCAAAGCAAAAAAAAAAACACCATAAAAAGCCAAAATTTCTGTAGCTTCATATTCTTCTTTGTCTGAAGGTTAAATTAATTAATTTTTAAATCCCAGCAACACTTAGTGCTTCAGTAACCCTCCTCCCTTTCTTTTGCTGACAAGGATTCTTCCAGGTTGTTACTGCTGAGGGTTTATGCTACACTAATCCCTAAATGAAAAAAGGTGTGGCTTCCCCGACACACACACGGATTCCTGTCTAAAAGTCTCTATTTGAAGAAACAACCGGAGAAAATTCAGGGATACACCTACAATGAACAGGGTTTAGGCTTTTCAAGGACATGCAGAAAAGGCAACCTTTTACAGTGTAAAAAAGGAGGGGGGTTGTGGGGGGAAGAATCTCCCTGAAGGAGGTGAGAATTCAGGAATTTTGTAGGAGAGTAATAGAAGCCTTTCCCTAGTATCACATAAGGCATGAATGTCCTTCTGTAGTTGCTAAAGGAGGTTTTTCCATATTTCAGTATGTCTATGGGCATTTGCTCCTCTGTTTTCTCTCACCATTATACAAGTTCATACCATTTCAATACAGTCCTGTATGTGGTGGCCACACTGCATAGATTTCATCCATTCTTAACGTTTAAGCTTTCTTAAAAGCAATATTCTTCAAGGGATCCCAGTCATGTGATACAGAAATAATATAAATAGTTTCAAAGCAAGATCAGTTCTTAACCTAAATTTTATTTTATGAAAAATCAAATATTTTGATTTGAAAACATGGTGGGTTTTCCTTATGAGGGAGTCAGACTTGAGAGCAGGATGTGACATCTCTTAAAATTAGCTTTACTGTATCAGTAAAGTCCCTTGTAGCTTCAGTCAACAGTATGACTTCAGCAAATATTTTGCTGACCTGCATCATCTTTTGCTTCTTCCCTGAGGCAAAATGCATACTTTCCTTGGCAGAAGCTTTTCTTTACCGTGTCCTTACAGTCATTAGTTGCTCAGTACTCTGTAAATTCACTGCAGATGTGGTAAAATACCTTCAATTAATCCATCCCCGTTTTCTTTTAGAACCAAGTAAATGCTGTGTCTTACTGAAAGAATACATTTAATCAAAAATGTTAGAAAGCCAACAAGTAAATTTATCTTCTCATGTTTGGTTTGGTTTTTGTTTTTTGTTTTCTCCCTAGGTATCCTTATTAGAATACCGTAAGAGACAACGAGAAGCTAGAAAAAGTGGCTCAAAGACAGAAAACTTCCCCCTGGTTACTGTATCTCCTCATGCTGCTGGTGGAGGAAATATAAGTAGTAACAATGGTGCTAATGATGGGTATAACAACAGTGGTGAAAATGGGGAGCAAACTGATAACGCTGCGAGCCTACCTTTACCACTGCCAACTACTGTTTATAATGCAGCTCCAGAAGACGTGGGCAATAACTGTGCAATTAAGGAGTCTTCCAGTGAGAAGAATGAACCAGAGGTTCAGTGGTAAGCCACAAAACTATAGGACTAAAGTGCTGAAGAATTATTTACTTAATTCTAAGTGTTTTCTTTTTAAATCTAGTTTTTGTTGATAAGGGTGCAATTGCAGATTACTGAATGGAAGCCCTTCTTTCAGATCAGTAAAGAGTTGTCTTACCTCTTCCCTCAGAAATATAGTAGATACCTCATAAAGATTAGAATATATGAAAAATTGCCCATAAGATACTGGTTAACTTATTCTGCTTTCCTTTTTTATTTTCTAAGAGCAAAATAGGTATTGGTTTGAGCAAGACAAGGTGCCTAGTTCTGTAGATTATAAAATTGCATAGGTGAAGTACAGTGGTAAATCTGTAGAAAATTACATCGGTGAGTAGGGGTGCTCCTTCCACCGTTGCACAAGTTGCGTGGTGCGTGCTTGCTAAGGCGCGTGGAGGAGGGAGCAGCAGTAGGTAGGAGAGGATGTGAGAGTACTCACATGGCTGTGAGAGATTTGAGTCAGATTACGTGGCCTTGGCTCTGCACTCATGTCCTCCTATCTCCACTGCTTCATCTGTGGGATGAAGAGAGTATTTTTTATCTTACGTCTCAAAACCTTTCCAAAAGTACTGGAGGGAAGAAGGGTGGAACAGGAGAATAATCTGTATTGATTAGCAAAAGCTTCTAGAAGACTGTAGGAAGTCTGTCTTTCAGTGATTGGGGTGGAGTATGTTTGTGGTGTTTGCTGTTAAGTGCAATGTGTAGGGCTGCATGCAGTCTGCCTCAGTTCCTTCTGCTCAGGTAGAGAGCATGTGGTGATACTTGCATCCTTGTTTATGATGATTAAACGGTTCCCCGGTGTGCAGACCATATGCTCTGTTGGATGCCATGCCATATACTCCAACAACCAAAAATCCTGGGGACAGAGCGTGAAGGGGGATGAGATAGAATAACTTCAATCTGTATAAAGATGGCACAACATTTTTCACTGCATTTTTGGTAGTCCTAAGGGAGATGGTTAGCTGTGGTGATGCTGTCTCCAAAACATTACTAGCACAAAATAAATGCTGCAGATGTTCTTTATGTAGTGAAGGCCTAACAGTGTTGGGGATGAACACGGACTGAGGAGTTGAACATCCTTCTGCTCAGATGCTTCAGCTATTCCAGAATAGAAGGATTTTGTAGAGCCAGTTGAAGGGAGAATCTAAATGCAGTCTTCCAAGTTTCACTGAAAAGGGACTGCAAGTTCACTATGGAGAAAGTAGTGTACTATATTGTAAGCAAGGAATGTGGAAAATAGGCAAGAATTTATTAGTAAGTTTTTGCAGTAATCCTGCAGAAAGCACCAAAATTTATTTTAGTACAGCAGTATTGTAGAGTAATGCTGTATGTTCTTGCCTGGAAGAAAAATTGAGTTTTGTAGAGTGCTGTCACTTACATTGTTCTTGATAAGATTGTGACGTCAGATGTAATCGATCATAAGAGGGAAGATATGACTGTCATTTCAGCCCCACTGTCTGGCAAGTTAAATGTAGAACCTCAAACACATATTTGCAGTCATGCGGTATTTATGATTATGGATCTACTACTAAAGAGCAAATTCTTTAAAAAATAAAAAAAAAGACTGTCTTCTTCCAAAGCTGGAAACAGTTTTGTACAAATGGAGCATATGAAGCAGTACCTGCAACCTTTATTTTTTGAAGTGTAGTTTTTGACTTTTCAACTCTAGAAAAAGAAAAAAATCCAACCACAGATCTATAGATGTTGTTTTTGTATTAAGAGGAATGGGCAGGAAATCAGTGTATTTAAAGTGGGAGAAAATAGATACAAAATACTTAACAAATTATATTCCTTGTGTACAACCAGTTGTTTGGCTCTTATGTGTGGTCAATGCTATGAACTTTCTCTGACCCAGTATTTGCATATACATTGTCCTAAATTTGGTCTGTGGGAGTACATCCTCTTAAATTTAAAATGTGCTTCTGTTTTCCAGGACTGCATCAACCTCTGTGGAACAAGTGAGAGAACGAAGTTATCAGAGAGCTTTACTTCTCAGTGATCATAGGAAAGACAAGGACAGCGGTGAGTTGATTTATTGTGTCGAAGGTAGATAAATCTAACCAGTTCCCCCGTGGCAGCCTGTAATCATTCTAATACTGTGTTTGGGTCTGCTTCATCTGTAGGGGGAGAATCACCCTGTAGGCCATGCTCACCGTCTCATGTTCAGTCTCCACCTTCATCTCATTCAAATCTCATTTCCCAGTTGCAGCTTAAGGTCCCTTCTTTCACTGAATTTATGGAAGGTCAGTAAGCAGATGACCTTGTATGACACTTGACATATTGAGTAGTCTCTTACAACAACTTAAAAAGAGCAAATATAAAAAAGTCAAATATAAAGTGCTTAGCAATCTTGGCAAAAGACTTTGATTTTCCCACTTTTATATTCATCTCTGCTTTATGCCCATAGAACCTGATCCTGAAAATCCAGAGCCTACTTCTGAATGTCCGTCCCCAGATACTTCACAAAAGACTTGTAAGAGTCCGTCGAAAGCAAGCAAGGTAATGTATGTAGGTGCATATGTGTTTGCACGTGTGTTGTATAACATGCATATGAATGTACATACATCTCTGATTTACCTTTAAAAAAAGTTAATCTCATCATTTACTAAAGTTACATACATATTTGTTCATCTGTCTGTGCAATAATTTAACATAGGTAAAACATTTGTGGTAGTTCATACATGCTAAAATGTTGGTTTATGTTCTGTTCTTTCAGTGGCTATACCTATTTGTATATGGTCTTGCGTTCTGTAGATACAGAAGAGATTGTATCAGTGGATTCAGTATCACCACAGTTCTGCGGGGTGAATGCTGAAGAAAGGGCAGTCAGAGCTGACAGTAGTAATGTGACTTAAGTACTTCGCACCTTAACGGGAGTTTGGTCTTGCCATGTCAGGGTTTGGCACTGCTATTGAGAAAGATGTTGAGTAGCTGCCTATACATTATTAAACGAAGTAATTCAGGTTGTAATGTTTAGTCTGTTTGCTTCCACTAGGCCAGTTTTAAAATGTTAAATCACTCTGAAAAAGGCTTTATTTTTGTAAATGGTCTTGTCTGGAATTATTTCTGTCAGACTCAGACATCTAAAACTTTAACAAATAACAGATTCTACTTTGACCTGATGGGTCGTATTTCTGTTACTACTGTAAAATACACTTGCTAGTCTTTGACTTTGAAGAATGATTGATAAATACTTGCTAATAATAGCATCTTGATAAGTTTAAGTTTTATATTGTTGCTGTTTTTCTTATATCCTGTGCCTCAACACTTTTTTTTCCACCATTAGGGGGAGAGAACAGTATTCTGAGAAGGTCTTTTTGTTTCACGCATGCGTAGTTGAATATTTGAATGTTTTGCACTAACTTACTTCCTTTTCATTTTAGCCCTCTTCACCGAGTCCTGTAGTTTCAACACAGTCACTTGGGAAAACACCCACAAAACCAGATTCGCACTGGGAAACTGCAGCTAATGCACCTGAGGCTGAATGTGCGAATCACCCAAAATCTGAGCTGCAACAAAAACAGCTGACAAACAATGTCCAAGCACTTTCAAAAAATCACCCGTCTCAATCACATCTGCGCAATTCTGCTGAGCAACTTTCACATTCACAGAAGTTGCCTTCTGCACCTTTGAAGCTGCATTGCCCCCCTTCTCCTCATGTAGAAAATCCTCCCAAGTCCTCCACCCCTCATGCGCCTGTACAGCACGGTTATCTGTCACCAAAGCCTCACTCGCAGCAGTTGGGATCTCCGTACAGACCTCATCATCCACAGTCACCTCAAGTTGGAACGCCCCAGAGGGAAACACACCGAAACTTCTATCCAGCAGCACCAACCCTTCAGCCTAGTAATCAGCAGGCGGCTAGCGGACCCCTCTTTACTCAGACAACTTCAGGACAATCTTCAGCTTCCTACAGCCAGTTTAACCAACAAAATCTGAGCAGCAGTGCACCACCTCCCCCACCCCCCCCACCCCCTTCTTCTACATACTATCAAAACCAGCAGCCCTCTGGAAACTTTCAGAGTTACAGTCAGCTGAAGGGCAGCATCCCCCAACAGACTGTGTTTTCATCTGGACCAAATCAAGCACTTCCTGGCACTGCAGGTCAGCAAACAGTGCCGGGACACCATGTAACTGCGGGGCATTTTTTGCCATCTCAGAACCCCAGTATTCATCACCAGGCATCGTCATCGTCTGCTCCACCTCCTCCTCCACCACCTCCTGCTCCAGGACCTCACCTTGTACAGCAGCAAAGTACTCATCAGCAGCACTCTGTAGCACACGTCGTTGGTCCAGTTCACGCTGTGGCAGTAGCTCCTGGATCGCACATCCATTCTCAAGCTGCTGGTCACCATTTGCCACCACCTCCTCCACCACCAGGTCCTCTCCCCCACCACCAACCTCCCCATCCTTCAACTGGACACCAAGGTTTGCAAGCACAACACCAGCATGTTGTAAACTCTGCGCCTCCCCCCTCCAATGTTATAGGCTCGGGGCATCACCCAGCATCAGCACAAGGGTTGCACCACCCATCTCATCAAGGACCCCCCCATTTTCCTTCGAACGCTCACACGAGCGTCTCCTCCTATTCCTCACAAGCCCCGCATCACACAACGTTAGGACCTGGACCTCAACATCAGCCTGCTGGAACAGGACCTCATTGTCCACTCCCCGGTCAGGGTCCTCACATCCAACCTCAAGGACCAAACAGTATTGCAACGCCTACTGCTTCAGGGTTCTGCCCTCACCCTGGCTCTGTAACCCTTCCCCACGGGGTGCAGGGGCCGCAGCAGGCGTCGCCAGTGCCCGGACAGATCCCCATTCACAGAGCACAGGTGCCACCCACTTTTCAGAACAATTACCATGGTTCAGGGTGGCATTAAAATGGATCCCTTTAATTCTAAACATTTTTAAAATGTTCTGTAATATAAACTGTGTATATTTCATATGTACCTATTCAAGGTACTTTTTAAAGCTTGTACATGATACTTTGTATAAAAGCAAACACCAGTGCTCTTTCATTGTATTCTTTCCATTTTTTGCTTTTTAAAATTCCTGAAAATGTGCTGTTAAGCCAGTATTAGGTATTCCTTTTTATTTTGTAAGTGAACATTCCAGCTGTTTTTTCTGGCAGTAGGTTTGATGCTGCATAATCTTTAAAATTTTATTGTTGCAGTTAAATTCATTTAGTGAATGTTTTCTATATTACTTTTATACATATGTAATTAAATAAGTACACAGGCTAAGTGATGGCACTAACTTTTTTTTTTTCCATTTTCTTCTGTCAACAGTTCTTTGTGTGCATAGAGATAGAAAACAATGCAATACAAATTTTTATAGTTTTGGTGTGAACATGGCTTTTTGTTCCATCAGTTATTTGCAGAAAATGTAATTTAATGTATAGACTGTTTCTAACGTCTCTGACGAGTGCTGTAAATACTGTATTTCTTTGGCTTGTAAGATGGCTTAAAGCTTCTTTCATTTGATATAGTATTGTATATAATAAGTCTCTTTTGCAAAAAAAAAAAAGTGTGATCTTTGTGAAAGTAGTACAGTATATGATCTTTGATTTTTTTTTTTTAATATACTGTCACATTGCAGCACTGGTTGGGCATTTTAATTCATGTTAATAAATCACAATTATGTCAGTTTTAACTACTTGTCCTGAAAGGGTGCTGTGTCTTCAGGGAGGTGGCCGTAAGTACATAAACCATCACCCCCTGCGCTCAACAGTGGCTCTTGGCTTCCCTGCAGTTTCCAGCTGTGGGTTTACTGCTGTAGCACAGGCAGATGTGGAGCTGGCTGTAGGAGGGGAGGAGGAAATCCCTCCAAACACAGCAGGGTCCTGTGGCAGGTTACTGACAGGTTAATCAGTGGGTAGTGGTGCATTACAGAGTAGTTGTACGGCGGTGCACTGAAGCTGTGCGGGACACATTACCCTACCGTGGTTGCAGACGGCAGTACCATCCGCACAGGGCACTACCTTCCTACCGTCCTCGCGTGGATGGTCAGCCCCTCCCTGGAGCACGGGCTGCCGGCACCCAGACCTTGGCATGCTTTCCAGAGAGTTCCAAAATAAGCTAAAGGGTATTTGTAATGCAGCCAGAATTCCTCATCACTGCCCACCCCATCCTGTGGGGATCCCTCGAGTGGTGCTAAAATAGGGTATGGAACTCCAGGAACCATCTAGCAGGTTGGTTTGGGTTTTTTAAAAGGTAGCAGGTTCTTCCCG